ATTTCCGTTTTTTTCCAAAATTCTCTAAATAAAGAAAATTCAAGAGCTTGGAATAGAAAAGAAATACTTTGTGTATCGAATTTTTCTCAATTTCTCTTGAATTTCTTTTCTTCATTTCTAAATTTTTCCAGCTCAATTTTTGTTTATTCCCGGCTCTTGAATTTTGCGAAAAAGAAAATTCAAGAGTCTGGAATAGAAAAAACATGAATGTCCTTTTATCTACCATTTTTTCGTCAAATTTTCTACTTTTCTTCTCTAGTTATTTCTCAGTTTTTCTGTCTCAATTTTTGTCTATTTCATGCGCTTGAACTTTCGTTTTCTTCTAAATTTCTCTGAATCGACAACAAAATAATAATAAAAATAATAATAAAACGTGGCTGATGCTGAACTGCTACCGGGGGCCGCCCCTGGGATTCGTCAGTCTCTAAGACTGAAGGGCACCAGGGAAATAAAATACCTGGGGTGGACAAAAATCAGCAAACCCATGAGAATGGAGAATAAACGACAAACATCGGATAACAATAATGACGTGTAAACGGGATCAATGCTACCACGCGTGATGTCGCGTCCAGCAGGGGACTTGAGACATCCTAAGTCGTCACCATGCGAAGCCCTCAAACTGAAAACAACACTCAGCATGACAACCCAACATCCGCGCGTAAAAGCAAACCTAGAATATTTGAAGTGAAACAGGATCCAGAGAGATGAAAACTGTTTGTTCCGAGCCTTCATCCAGGGAATAGAAGAGCAACATATAAAAGTTAGCCATAAGGCGGTCAACTACGTCCGGCAGAACTGGAATAAGGAGAAAACATATTTAATGGAAACCATGGATGCAGAATGATAAAAACTACTGCTACACCATGAGTCAGGATGGTACAAGCGTAGAGATATTGGCATTATCGGATATTCACAAGTTAAACATCAACGTCTACACATTAATGCAAAGAACAACTACTAACAAGTTCACGTCAGATCAACCACCAACTGTCATAAGCAGAACAGCAAGACCAAAGAAGCTCAACCACCTTCTAACAGGAAACTTGAAGAACGGACACTTTGTACTCTTGCAACCAGCAACCTTGCAAACGCCCTTGCAAACGCCCAAGGAAACAGAAATAAGGAAACAACCACCAGTCGGTCCCAAACATCGGGAAGCGAACAACCAAACTAAGAATAAAAAAAAACGCCGAGCAAGGCATCCAGAAGCCAATTAAAGAACCAAGTCAACAACCAAGCGAAACCAGGAAACCAGAAAGGATCAAGTGGACAGTCGATGTACAAAGAAATAATGTGGTGCCATCTCCACATAGTAGAAAGAACTGGAACAGCCAATCTCAAGAAAACATTCAGACTCTGGAAAACTTGTAACACACACTCGAAACACAACCTCACTGCAAACACCATGGCCACGCAGAGAAGGTACATCCAGCAACAGAACAAATTTTAGCGCAACAGACTTAGAAACTATTTTGAAATAAGTGAAAGCCGAGTTCCAGAGCCAAACAATAGCAACCAACGTCGACCTAAAGCAAGAAAAGAAGAACCACCACCATGGAACCGAAGAATCCAGTGCCGAATAGCAAACGTTGAGAGAAGATTTATCACAGCTGAAAGAGACTCAAAGCCCTACGCTCAGCAAAACAATGAAAGAGAAGAAAAGAAAACTATTCGCGAAGTACCACATCACAAAGGAGACTCAACTTAAGGCAACGCAAGAAAAACTGAAACAACAAATAACACCTTAAGCCTACAGAATAAAACGATACACCGAGGAAGCTACCAGAATAAACAAATCACGGAAAACGCATACAGCGGGGATGCTAGGGAAGAAAAACGCAATCAGAGGAATGCGTAGCGAGACAGAGATACAACAATACTGGAGAAGCATATGGGAAAGAGACATCAGACACAATAGTACTAAGACCTGGATTCAGGACGAATACGATAAAACCTCCAAAAAAAAACGCATGAACAACCCACGGAACAGCAGCAGGAATAGACGACATACAGAAGAAGCTATACATGAAAGTCTGGCAAATTCTTACAACGACATGATAAAATATGAACAGGAGACACCCGCCTAATTAACAAAAGGCAAGACTCACCTGAGCCCCAAATCCGAAGACACTGAATAAGCCAAATCATATCGCCCCATACCCTGCTTGAACAATGTATACAAAATCCTAACGAAGATAATATCAGAAAGACTCTAGTAACATCTAGCAGAAAATAATATCTTCCTTGACGAACAAAAAGGCTGCGTCAAAGTCAAGAACTCTTATACGGATGCAAAGATCACCTCTTGACCAGTAAAATGATCCAAAAAGACAGCAAGAACAACCGCAAAAACCTCTCAATAGCATGGATTGACTACAGAAAAGCTTTTGACAGTGTACCTTACAGCTGGCTAATAGAAACCATGAATATATACCGAACCTCCTCAACACTACTAGCACATAACAAAAACCATGGCTATTTGGGTAAACTGACCTACACTTGTCAACTGGATCAACAACCCTCACAATAAAAGAAATCAACATCAAGAACGGCATTTACCAGGGTTATTCGCTGTCACCGCTACTGTTTTTTATGTCCCTTTTTCCCCTGAGTACCATCCTTAACAGGACCAGGTACAGTATACACTTGCAAAAACGAGAAGCAAAAGATAAACCACCACCATACGTTGATGATCTGAGGCAAATAGCTAAGAGCGAAGACGAAATAATGTAACAACTAGAAAAAGTACACGAATTCAGCACAGATATGCAGATGCAATTTGGACTAGATAAATGCGCAAAGGCTACATTCACTAAAGGAAAGCTAAAAACGAAGTAAAACATAGTACTAGACGAGAACACCAGCTTCAAGACATTAAAACAACACGAAGTGTACAAGTACCTGGGAATTGACGAGAACGACGGAATACAGCTCAAGAAGATGAAAGTGAAACTGAAAAAGGAATACTTAAGACCGAACTCAACGCCAAAAACAAGAGCTCTGCTATTACATACAGGGATTGCTCGCCCTGTGATACAATAAAGTTTCGGCATCATCAAGTGGACGCTAGCAGAACTCAGAAAAATGGACAGACAAACCCGGAATCCACGGCAGACTCCACCCCAAAGCCAACGCAGATCGGTTATACTTGCCACCTAAAGAAGGAGGGAGAGGCATGCAAAGCCTGGAAAACTGCCACATCATCGCAATAAGAAGACTGAAAGCCTAGCTCGACCTGAATAAGAAAGACAAGTACATCTGCATGGTGAACCGACAAAGACAGCGAAACAAGAAAAAAGACAATAGCGGAGACGAAAAACCGGAAAGCGTCAGCCCGAACCAACCTGAAACAAAAAGAGTCAAACAGATTATGGAGGGATTGAAACAACAGAAGAAAAGAGAACGGGTAACAAGGTGGAGGAAAAAGGCCCTACATGGACAAATCACAAAGGAGCCGGAAAAGGAAACCATCAACGCAGCGGCATCATGGAAGTGGCTCACTTATGTAAATCTGAAAATGCCACGATTTTTTCATTAGAAATTCATTCCCATATCTCCTGGGACATCCTCGGAAATCCCTTTGACATCCCTTGGACATCCCCTGAACATCCTGGGATATCCCTAAACATCTACAAGCTTGTACACGAAACATCCCCAGAGGTTCACCCCTCATTGAGGGATTTCGGAATTTCGAAAAATTTCGTATATTCAACGCCATACGACAACTAAGGATTTCGATAAATTTATTGAGATTCCAGGATTTCAGAAAGATTTTGGATAGGATTGCCGGATTTCGAAAGAATTTCACGAGATTTCAAATGAAAATATGTACAACGATTTCGGGAGCGAGTCTGCAACTACTTTACCTATAATTATATGATTTCTAAGTTTTTTTCAAGTCACAATAATATTCTACAAGTTCTGATGCATATTTATATATTCTAAATCAAAATTGAACACTCCTTAAGATAAAACAAAATTGAATCATTCTTCTCAAATGGTTTTCCAAATGTTGAGCCTCAAAGTGAAACTTGTCTCAAATTTTAGAAAAGTTCTTATGCCGATTATCTAGAAAACAAAGCCCTAGGGCTCGATGCCCCAAATAAATAAGTTTACTTGGAAAATTTTCAATTTTGATTTTCCTAGATTTTTTAATTTTTGATTTGCTTTTCCTAGACATGTTATTGTAACTGATGAGGGATGAGGGCAAAAATATGGCCTGTAACATTTGGGGTACTGGGTATGAAATGCATATATAATTGCAATTTGATTTTTAAATCGCCAATCAAATCATTTTATCAATGATATTGGCAAAAATTAAAATAATAAATTGTATGAGTTAAAAGAGATTATTTTAAGACGATGACTACACACTACACACCAGAACAACTCGAAATACAAATTTAAAATAAATATTTAAACTGTATCAGAAATAGTTTACTTAGGTAGTTCTTGGATGATTTGCGAATTTTTTTGGATGTTTGCATTATTTTGATGCCTACTTCAACATTGATTGAATTTCAAATATATTTTTCTTTTGGTCATTCAACACATTTTTTTCTAAAACTCAAGGTTCAAGAAATAGTTTTTCCATTTGATTTTTCTGGCATAATATTTTTTCATTCGTTTATACTTGAAATACTTTACCCACTGAAGCTTCTAATGAATATAAAACAAGAACAAACATTCCCTCTATCATATTTGTAATTGGCAACCCCTCATTATATCAATTACCTATAATTAGTCAGCTGAGAGGTTATTTCAAATTAGCTAAGAAAGACGGAAAACGTCAGCTGATTCTAAGACAATTAGTGGAAGTTTAATTAAGGTTCTTATTGTTTCATATAAATTAATATTTGCCATTATAAGGACTTCAAAATACAAGTCATTTTCCTTTGATAAGGTTTCTGATTTTCATAAGGTTCTCTCTAAGATGCCTACTTAAGCTTGATGTTTTTAATAAGGGTTTAAAAGAATCATCATCAAACTAATCTTCTTACCAATATAAATAATACTCTCAGTACTCTTCTTCCACTTCTGCCAAGTGTCGTTATTATACTTCATCCATTTACAAGCGATATCCTTGTAAGTCATGTTGCTGTTTTGCTGATAGAGCGACAGCAAATGTTCGTATTCGGTTACCTCGAACTTGAAACTCCTCAGCGAGTCGTAGAGCGGTTTAGCGAACTTTTCCACTTTGCTCCAAGCCACTTTGACCAACCTGTGCATTTCGTATTTGTAGCCCACGTTGGTTACCTGAGTGAAGTTCAGTCTTTCGCAGTTTTCGAAGGAAACGGTGACGAAGTTGCGTTCGTATAGGATTATGTCGCTCGGTGTCCAACTTAGAATCACCTGGAATAAAAAGAAATATTTATTACAACTACAGCTATTAAGTTATCATAGCTTTCCAAAAAAACTTAATAGAAATTAGCCTTTGGCGAGCAAATATGATAGTTCATCATTGTGAATTATTGATTCTTCTAGCAAAAAAGGATTCTTCAAACCTGTCCAACAGTGAATAAAATTCTCATCAAGACTTTTTATGGATAACTGAATCTAGCAAGAAGAGAAATTATGTATATAAACTAAGATAGAATTGAATCTAGCAAGAAGAGAAATTATGTATATAAACTAAGATAGAATTGAATCTTTCTTTTAACAGTCAAATTTTAAAATCCAAAAATGATCGTTAGGTTGATGGCGCAATTATTTTAATTCATTTTGACGATAAAAGCTCGGTTCGCTGATGAATTGATCGATAGAGCAATAAAAATAATAAACCAGTCTAGAAATTTAGTACCTAGTCTATTAGTTTTCGAAAATATTCTTTCTTTTTTTTTAACGGCTTATGGATATTGTTTATGGCGAGCATTAGTTACAGAATTTATTAGTTTCTGTCTGGTGTAATCGTGTTGTTTTTTTTCTTTGGTCATGGAAATTTTTATGGGTTTTTATCAGAATTTACAAAGGGAATGATCAGACACATCCTTATTATTGCATACTTTAGGTGGACTGTTCCATAAATTGTCACCGATTCTGGATGCGAAATCGTATAGGATATGTGAGATGTGTGAACAATGGCGATGGTGATGTTTTTGTGGACAAACACCAATCATTTCAACCACTCAGAGAATATATTATTAACTTAGCTGTGTGACGTCAACCAGTGCTGCCATAATTCCCATATTGAATATGCCACAAAATACATTGTTCTTTGATGAAGATCAGACGTTTGTGCGAGGCGTTCCATACAAGCGTGAAGACGACAGTAAACAGGTGAACCTTAATATAGTCAATTTAGTAAATTTGCCAAAACTTACCTTGAGTGATTTGAAAAATCAGGTTTCAACAAATTTACCTCAGAAAGATGCTCAAAAACTCTTATTATTATTGAATAAATATCGTGACTGTTTTGCCCAGAATGTTAAGGAATTGGGGAAAATTGAGGGTGTACATACAGACCTTATCCTTTCTCATTCAGTGAGAGAGAAAAAGTGCGAAAGATATTGAACAGCCTTCTATCTGCTGATATAATCCAAAATTCAAATTCTCCATATGCTAGTTCCATTATCCTTGTGAAAAACAAAAACAACGATACAAGAATGTTTGTGGATTTTCGCGCTTCAAATTCGAAAACAATCAAAGACAGTTACTCTTTCCCTCACACTGATGATCACTTCGAACTTCGAAGTACTTAAGGGCTGTGAATTATTCACTACTTTGGACATGGCAAGTGGATACCATCAGATTCCCATGGCGGAGGAGTCAAGGCAGAAAACGGCTTTCGTTACACTAGATGGGCAATATGAGTATTTCCGTATGCCATTCGGTTTGGTTAACGCTCCAGCAATGTTCCATAGAACCATGAATAAAATATTGGGCGCTATGGGATATTCTACTGCGATGGCCTATATATGGATGATGTTTTGCTGCCATCTACTAACTTTAATTCCGGTTTAATTGCTCTTGCAGATGTCTTGAAGTGTTTCAGAAAATCAGGCGTTACTCTACGGCTTGAAAAATGCAAATTTTTCCAGGAAAGTATTGATTACCTAGGACACGAAATTAGTGCAAATGGTGTACGACCCGGTACTGTGAAAATTCAAGCAGTAAAAAATTTTCCCATACCACAATGTTAGACAATTTGTTGGACTCAGTTAATTCAGAAAATACGTGCTTAAATCGCACGACCATTAACTTTGTGACTGAAAGACCAATCCTTGTCATCTATGATCCGAAAGCAGAAACTGAGGTTCATACAGACACTTCTAAATTTGGACTAGGTGGAGGAATCCTACTACAAAAACAGGAAGACGGAAAGTTTGTAGCAATTATTTTCCTGATTTTTTTTTGATTCCGGAAAGCAACCACTAAACATATAAGCACGGCAGCTTTTCATCAGTGGCATTGGGAAATGGGTTCAGATAATATTTGCTTGATTTTGACCTTGCCATTTGGACGCCACTAATTTTTTTTAAGTGAAAGATTACTTACATAATTATTACAGTTTAAATAATGTTGAAATGTCAATTAAGAAAAAAATTTGAAAAGTACCTGAAACTGTGACCTGAAAACAAGAAAGATTTTCTAAACAAATACTCAGTACTCCCCAAAAATGAAACTTTATTTTCCTGGACAACAGTAAAGAACACACTATACACTGTACAATTACACCGGTGTATAATAATGTAGTATTTTGTAACAATTAAAGTCATGAGATTGTAATTAAAGTTATGAAAATCTGAGTTGAAGATAAATTTTAATATCAAATATGATTGTTAAATATATAGCACTATTTGGTCAAATTGTATTACTGTAAAAAGGTAATTATATCACGGAAAACCTGGGTAAAATTCATGAATCTTCGGGGTTTTGGGGTCTTACTCAGAAATACCTGAATAATATACGCAGTAAAAATAAACCAAAAAATTACCAAATCGGCTATTCACATTATACCTAAATATAGATAAATAAATCATTTCAAAAATTAAAAAATATAGGAAAATGTTTGAAAGTCAAAGCATTTTTTTTTATTTGGTTTTTCACTGAGCTGCCTTAATCTCTAGCAAACCTGTTAGTTTTTTTGTGCATCCATGAAGTCCCAAATCTGGCTTATTGGGCTCTGGACGGATTCGAAGCTGGATATTTTCTGGTAAGAGTACAGATCAAATGGGCGCAAAGTAGACCAGAACTACAACTCGGACTAGTTGGTACTTGCACGGGTTGGATCTTCATAGAAAAATTTGGAGACATTTTCCCCTTGGGCTTGACTCTGAACTTATCTGAATTTGGACTTGGATTTGGATTTGGACTCTGATTTGGATCCTCCAATAAATTAGGAAGTGAAAATTCCAATGCGAACATCAGCAGCAATTTAATGCCAATCGAAAGCAAACTGGATAATCAAAAATGGATCTATAAAGATAAAAAAAACCATTAGAAGATGTTAAATTCTTACCACGAGGCACGTGCAACTTACGCGAAATAATCATCCCAAATAACTCATAAAATCGCTCAAGAACCATATATCTGGAAACTGGATCTACTGAGCTCACAAAATATTTTGTGGTCTACGCCAACTTCTACAAATCTTGATAAAAATCAAAAGGGCGATACGGACGGATTTTAGAGTTTTCAAAGCTCTTGACAAAGGTTCCGTGACCACTGGTACCAAAACGAAGCCTCCCTGCTCCAACAGTGAACCAAGTTCAAGGCGGTGGGAGAACCCCCAAAAATATTCGCTGAACGGTGACAAGGCCAGCCGTAATTCAAAATAGACCAAACACCAGGGTTGGATTTAACTTTGATGGAAAAATAGAAAAAATTTGAAAATGGGTGAGCAAAGAGAACCTTCACAATAGCGGAATCTGAATTGGTTTTGGGATAGATACAGGTAAGTTTTCATATCACAAAAGTAATCGGTGATTTGTCTCATTTTTCTTTTCTTTTTTCTCTCTTTAGGTTCTTGTAGACACCCAAAAGAAAACAGAAATTGATGCCGGAGATTTCCCAACCAGAATTTACAGTTGCCAAGATAAACATATTGTTTATTTAATAATTTATTTAATTATAATTAATAAACATTCTTAAAACTAAAATTGATTGTTTTACTATTTGTTCCAAAATTGTAGCATTATATATGAATTTAAATTAGAGGAAGATAAAAATGCTACAAATATACCAGAACAGTTCTAGTTGGCCGATCCAGAATTCAATTCCCCAAACAAAGTTGAATTATTATTAGGTGCTAGCTTATTTTGGGACTTTATTTTGGAAGGAAAACTCAAACTAGGTGACAATTTGCCAACATTACAAAATACAGTCTTTGGGTACATAATCACAGGAAGTTCTACCATGTCTTTCAAAACTTCTATTTTCAATTTTACAAAAATACATATTACAGAAGATGACCAGTTTTTTGGGAGCTAGAAGAAGTGACCTTTTTCTAAGGATGATAGTGATTGTGAAAAATTATTTGAGCAGGATACATATAGAAATGAGCAAGGGCAATTTGTGGTTGAATTTCCATTGAAACATTCCCCTACTTTGTTAGGTGAGTCTAAAGAAACGCCCATGAAACGATTTTCATCTTTGGAGAAGAAATTTACAAATCTTGATTTCAAAAACCTATATTGTGATTTTATAAATGAGTATGTGTCTTTGGGTTATATGACGAGAATAACTAATGAAGAAAACAATGCCAATCCTATTTCTTATTTTTTGCCGCATCAAGGATTTTTGAAACAAGGCAGTATCACAACTAAACTAAGGACAGTTTTCGATGGAAGCTGTCTGTTAGGTGCCAGTCTGTTAGGTGCTCAATTGATAAAAGTGGTGAGGAATGGAATTTCTATTTCTGATGCCTATTTTAATGTGGTCTGATTCTCAGGTCGCGTTAGGTTGGATAAAAATTGAACCTAGTTTAGACTAACATCAATAGTTGGAGATATGTCAATACGAAAGATAATCTAGCAGACATAGCGTCTAGAGGCATTTTTCCAGAAAATTTTCCCAACAATTCCTTGTGGTGGACTGGTCCTCAATTTCTGAAAGGACAGATTATGGACCGGCCTATAGCACATCCCATTAGGTCAATTGCCAGAGTTAAGAAAAGCAGCTACTATTTTAAAAAACAATAATTCAAGAACATTTCTATTTGTTCTCTCTATTTTCTGATTTTTTTCAAACTCCAACGCATAACTGCTCTTTGTATGCGATTCATTATTAATTTAAACCTTAAAAAACAAAATAACCAGGGTCAAAATTTTTGCTGAATAAAAAACATAAATTATCTTCCTCAACACCATTTCTCGACAGTAATGGTATTATTCGCGTTGAAGGGAGGTTGAAAA